GTCCTGGAAAGCTAGTTTCCTTGAACATGGAAAAAATAAAATGGAGCTCTACCATATACAAAGAATAAAGAGTATGAGTAAAAAATGTAGTTTTTTAAGACTACCTTTATTTGTTTGTTTATTGTCGGGTGGCATGTGGTATGGCATGCGTGTGGGGTGAGAGGACAGCTTGAGGGAGCTAGGGGGTCCCAGGGCTTGAACTCAGGTCATCAGGCTTGGTGACAAGCGTCTTTGCCTGTTGAACCCCCTCACTGCCCATGAGAAGCCCTTGTTAAGTATACCCTATAGAATATAAGTTCGGTTATAGTATCCATTCTTTTTTGTTGTTGTTGTTTCTGTTTGTTTGTTTGTTTGTTTTTAGAGACAGGGTTTCTCTGGGTAGCTTTGCGCATTTCCTGGATCTTGTTCTATAGACCAGGCTGGCCTCGAACTCACAGAGATCTGCCTACAGTATCCATTCTTAATGAGTGAAGTAGTATCCACAAGGCACACACCCACAAAAGAAAACCCAGAAAACAAACAAACCCCCCCAAAAAATGGTCTGAAAGGGATAAAAATAGTATTATTCTCATATATAAAGCACATACATAAGAATGATACAAAAACATTTACTCACAGGATTAAAATATCAGTGAAATGATTAGAAAACAAAAGTCTGAAAAACTTTAGAAGGTTGGAGGAAATGAGTGTGTAGCATGCTTGAGGTCATTCCTTGCCATGTGTCTTAGTCACTGGTCTGTTGCCGTGAAGAGACACCATGACCTCGGCAGCTCTTATAGAAGAACGCATTTAGCTGGGGGCTTGCTTAAGTGTCAGAAGGTCAGTCCATCATCATCATGGCGGGCAGCATGGCAGCACACGTGGTACTGGAGCAGTAGCTGGGAGCTGCATCCTGATTCATAGGCAGAGAGACTGGGCCTGGAATGGGTTCTTGGAACCTCAAAGCCCACCCCCAGTGACACACTTCCTCCAACAAGGCCACACCTCCTAATCCTTCTAATCCTTTCCAACAGGTCCAGTCCCTGGTGACTAAGCCTTCAAATACATGAGCCTATGGGGGCCATTGTTATTCAAACCACCACAAGCATGATAAAGGGCAAAGGAGACAGCGCACATTTCAACACTGTAGTTACCTCAGAGGGTAGGAAGGGTGAGAACTGAGACAAAGGAGGTACCCATGGAGCTTCAGTTAGCATCATCGGAAACATTCTGTCCCTTCACCTGGGTGGGATGGATTCAAAGGTTTTTATTTTCTTCAGCAATATGTATGGCAAATGTCTACTCGTGCATTTATATATATATATATATATATATATATATATATATATATATATATATTAAATTGGCAAGGTAGTAACTAGAAAAGTGAGGTAAAAATGAAGAGTACTTACTGGCCTGGAGACCAACAGCTGGGGAGAACGGCTGAGGAGCCATGTCCTCTGCCTCACCTTGGGCTAAGCTTTGCTACACTGGCTGCGTTTTTTTCACATCTGCTGCTCATCTGAACACCAAGGAAATAATGTCCTGCTCCCAAACTTGTTCTGATTAAATAAAGTTATATATAGTCTGTGGAGTCACGTGTTCCACCAACCAACACCCAGCAAATATTGTCTCCTCTCCTCTATCTTGCCACTTAATTCTGTGCCTTATGGTTTATGCCTTTACAAGTTCCTGTGTCCCAACCTCCGTGATGTCCCGACTCCGACCCCAGCTGACTGGGTGCTGCGTAAAGACTTGGGCCTGTGTTATTTCACTTGTCGGCCTGCCTGGCTCAAGTCAAGAGCCCCGAGAATGCTCAGCTCACAGTGTCCCCACAGTTCCTTACAAACTAGTTGTTCATAAAAAGAGAAATCAAGTTACTATCGTGGGCTCCCTCACCAAATACAATTGGGACTTCACTAGTCCCACTTTGTCCAAGATCCCTAGAGGATGCCAAAGACCAGAGATGGTGCTGAGACCTGTAAATAATGCTTTTTCCAATATGTAATGTCTATGATGAAGCTTAATCTATAAATTAGATACAATAAGCTATTAATAGCAATAAATAGAATGAAAATAACACAATTATATTATAATACAAGTTATCAATTATTTGCTTCTGGAATTTGTCCTTTAGCATTTTCAGATTACACCTGACGGTTGGGAACTAAAGGGAAGGAAGCTAAGCCGTAGAATAAGAGAGCTATGGTGATTGTAAAAGTCATTTAGAATAATGATCACCGCTAAAGGCCACTCCCCTGCCATCTTAAAAAGTAAAATAGAAAATGAAAATGAACATACCTGCCTTCAGAACTTCAGGCTGTGGTGATGCATGCCATAATCCCAAAAAGTTGAGGCAGGAGCATTAAGCCTAGGCTGCACAGTACATTCCTGTTTTTAACTAATAACTTCGATAAATAACCTGAGACAGACACGCACATCTTTGTCAGCCGTTTGAGTGAGCGCCTCGTCATTTTTCTCGCATTGTTTCTGTGCGATGGAGCAGGAACACAGTCATTCTAGAAGGCCAAGGTTGAAGAACTCGCGACAGACACGTTACCAGAATGACTTTGTCTTTCTGAGCACAGTGCCAGGCTGCACAGGGCTCTGTCAATGTAGCTGAATTGCACAGCGCTGCTCGGCTGGCTGCTGGGGGAGGCTTGGGATGGGGACAGAGAGGCTAAGCGGTGAGATGCGGGGTACCAGAGAAAACTTGACCCTACGCTGTAACAGTGTCTCTAGGCCTGGCTTTGGGCCTGTCCTCTTTGGGTGTGCAGGGTGGGGGTCCCGCAGTAAGGGAGGGGATCTCCGAAGGTGAGGACAGCAGGTTTTAGCTCCCCCTCCTTAACCAGCTTCCCTGGATTCTCCCTCGTCCATCCGGTCTGTGTTCTGAGGTCAGAATCTAGTTCACGGCTATTTAAAAATTTCAACTTGGCCCCTGCAATGCTGGTCGGTGCTCTTGGAATTAGAATTTGTGAGTGTGATCTTCTAGGGCTGGTGAAAGCTTTTCAGATTCCTAGGAGATTGTGTGTGTGTGTGTGTGTGTGTGTGTGTGTGTGTGTGTGTGTGTGTGTGTAATAAGTATGCACATGTGATTGCATGTGTTCAGAGATCTTGGACTTTCCAAGCCAGGCAAGCACAAATTGTACAGGAATTGATGTAAGGCGATGTTCCCCCAACTTATGGTCCCTCTAATTTGAAGGCACTCACATGTCGCTGAGATTGTTTTATTTTCCACAAATATCATATTTGCCTCACACAGATCTCCTAGCATGCAGGGGAGGCCATGCAAGTCCAGCCTGCTTGTCATAGCAGGGCCTGGGGACAACTCACAGTAAGCATGGGATCTTACTGGAGTCCTGGCAGCCCTTGCTGGGGGAGTATACTGGCTACATGGAGCGCAGACATGCCATCCTCTGCCCACCCACAGCCTGGATTAGGAGAGCTGCTAACCACCAGGAAGCATGCTGTGCTCTCGGGCCTCCTGGCCAGTGTCCTACCATTTATTGCTCATGGTGTAATTTGGGTTCTGAAGACATTTGGACTGGGCAGGAGGAGGATTTTGGTTTGCTTGCTTGTTTATTTTTGTTTTGTTTTCTAAGAGAACAAGGACAAATGGGAAGCCTTTTTCTCTAGCCTGGCACAGAATTGGTAGAACTCCCTAGAATCCTTTCCTGATTTTCAAGATGTTCAAATTATAGCCCAGAGAAGCTCCTGGCTTTGCCCCAAGTCATTTTGATCATAGCACGAGCTGCTACTTGTAGCTCCCCCAACCTTTTTTTTTTTTGGTTTTTCTGAGACAGGGTTTCTCTGTGTAGCTTTGCGCCTTTCCTGGATCTTGCGCTGTAGGCCAGGCTGGCCTCGAACTCACAGAGATCCGCCTGGCTCTGCCTCCCGAGTGCTGGGATTAAAGGCGTGCGCCACCACCGCCCGGCTCCCCCAACCTTTTTAAGAACTGAAATATTAAAAGTTTCTCATTAATTTTTATACTAAATGAGTATTAGCATCTTGCATCTCTGTAGTCTAGAGATTTTGTTCAAGTTAGTTAACCTCTGTTTTTAAATCCATAAAGGAGGGTAAATCACACCTTCCAGGGTGATTGTGAGGCAGAATATGTTAATGTGTGATACTAAAATCAAAAGAAATCAACAACAACAACAAACCCACTTGGTCCTTCCTGCCCCCTTCCTGCCCCCTTTCTCCCCTGGTTTTTTGAGACAGGGTTTCTCTGTGTAACTAGCTGTCCTTTGTAGACCTCAAACTCACAGAGATCCACTTGCCTCTGCCTCCCTAGCGCTGAGATTAAAGGCGTGCGTCACCATGCCCCCACGCCCCACTCCTTCTTGCCTTTTAAAGACCATAACAAACCAAAGACAATTCCTGTTCCATTGACAAGCTGAGCGCAGATTCACATTGCAGAGCAGTGTAACTACGTCTGTCCTAGGCAGTTCAGGTAAACCAAGGGCATTGCCCAAGGTGCCGTGGGCAGGGCAGGACCCTGGAATGGGCACGAGATTGGGAAGGGGTGTGAACTGACTGAAAAGCCTCCAAAGAGAAGTTAAAGACTTTCTTCCCAGCTTAAAAAACAGTGCTGAGGGGCTGGAGAGGTTAAGAGCATTGGCTGCTCTTCCAGAGGTCCTCAGTTCAATTCCCAACACCACCTGGTGGCTCACAACCATCTATAATGAGACCTGATGCCCTCTTCTGGCATGAAAGCATACATGCAGACAGCACACTGTATACGCAATAAATAAAATAAATCTTTAAACAACAAAAATAAACAAGAAAACAAGCCGGGCGGTGGTAGCACACGCCTTTAATCCCAGCACTCGGGAGGCAGAGTCAGGCGGATCTCTGTGAGTTCAAGGCCAGCCTGGTTTACATAACGAGATCATCCAGGAGGGGCACCAAAACTACACAGAGAAACCCTGTCTCAAAAACACAGAACAAAACAAAACAAAAAACAAAAACAAAACACAAAAAACTAACCAACCAACAAACAACCCCCAAACCAAACACAGCGCTGAAGGAGAGGCTTGCGGAGACGGGATTGACGGAGCTGCAGGAGAGGCTTGCGGAGACGGGATTGACGCAGCTGCAGAAGGAGAGGCTTGCGGAGACGGGATTGACGCAGCTGCAGAAGGAGAGCGGTTCTCAGGATGCAGCCGAGAGTCTCAGAGAGCAAGGACCCTGGTGGCTTCCCAGCAGCCCAAAGATCCTGAAGGATGACAAACGGGACATTCAGCCTCAGGTCTCCATGGTAAGCGTGTCATAGTAGAAAGTGTGTGGGTGGCATGTCTGAAGAGACCTCCTTCCTTCCCCTCTGCAGCCACACCAAGTAAGGGGGAACGCGGGACTTCCTGAAGCCCCATGGGAAGATGGACTTCAGCAGTGGTTTAAAACTGTTCTGGGTTCACTGCCCTTCTGGTTATAGCCCCTGTGCCAGAGGCATCTGCAAAGCAAAGAGGGCCTCCTGACTTGGGTTTTCACATCGAAAGAGTCAATTTCAAACATTCCCATGTGGGGACTGGGGAGATGTCCCCATTGGGTAGGACTGCCTGTTGTGTAAGTATGGGGACCTGAGCTTGGGGATCCCCAGCACTCATATAAAAGCCAGGGGTGACCCTGAATACCTGTAGCCTCAGCACTGTTTCTACTGATGGGTAGAAACAGGAGGTTCGCTAGGGTTTGGTGGCTGTCCAGTCTAGCCCAAAAGTGGCAAGCTCCGGGTTTAGTGAGAGACCCTGTCTGGAGAGGATAAGGCAGAGGGTGGGAGAGCCATCTTCCTCCAGCCTCCACATGGGGAGCATGGGCATGTGCACTCCCACATATGTGTACACACCCACATACAACACAAACGTAGACATTCAGTCTGGTGCTTTTGTAGCAGTGATGGGCAGTAGGAAGGTCTCATGACCATGGCTTCCCTATAGGTACTACAGAACAAAATGGAATCGTAGTTGAAAGGGATGTGCATGAAGTTGGGCTGGGAGGCAAATTGGAGTAGAAACACAGCCCTCAACTGCAATGCTTACGGAGTACACTCAGGCTCAGCTGTAATCAGTCCTCTGTCTCTTCAGGCTCCCTTAGCAGAACCCAGAGGTCACATGGTGAGGATCCCTGGCTCTCCGAGGCCACACTGGAGAGGCAATCCAGTTTGCATTTGGAGGACAACACAACAAACCTGTCCCCTCCCCTCTATGGTGAGCCTCCGGCTTGTTTAGCTCTACCAGGCAGCTATTCATCTGTAACTGTGAGACGCAAGAACCCAAGGCTGAAACGCAAGGTACCCAGGCTGCTGCATCCTGCAGTTCCTTACACAGACCAGGGGTCGCCAGGATTAGACCAAAGCAGGAAGTAATACCCAGATGGGGAGAAATGACATTTGCCAAATATTGGCTTACGGAAAAGAGCAGCTGGGTGAAATACACATGAAATAAAAATTAAACCCTTCAAGCTAGCGCCTGGCTGACTGGCTGAGGAGAGAGAGAGAGAGAGAGAGAGAGAGAGAGAGAGAGAGAGAGAGAGAGAGAGAGAGAGAGAGAGAGAGAGAGAGAGAGAGAGAGAGAGTCCATCTGAAGGCAACAGCACCCCTGAGGTGAATTCCCTGAATCTGAGAGCACAGCTCCATCTCCAAAGAGGAAAGTGACTGTAGGTTGGCTGGACAGTCGTGGCCGAACTGATGTCACTGCTCTTGTCTCACTGGCCCCCAGAGAAGGGTTCCTGTCCTGAAAAGGGGGGACTTCTTGTTTCCTCTTGGTAGCTATAAGTCCTATTGTACATTCCAAAACACAGTCCAGCACCTACCCCCACCGTGAAGAATGTGGGGTGACTTTACCAGGATCCCAGAGCTTTAGAATAGCTCAACTGTAGATGTAACCAACCGTCTTATTAAATAAGAAACACAGAACCAATGCAAAGAAGAAAGCCAAGAGGTCAGAGCTAAGAGCTAAAACCTTACCCTTCCTCCTGCGGTGGTCCTACCTCTCCGAACCAGAGCTACCCCTGTGTTAAAGTCTTTATATAGAGTTCCTGATCTGCCTTCTCATTGGTTGTAAACCCAACCACATGACCGCCTCCTCACGGCCTGTCTGTGTAGACCTCCAGGTTTTCCATGATTGGTATTGAGATTAAAGGCATGTGTATCCAATACTGGCTGTATCCCTGAACACACAGAGACTTACCTAGCTCTGCCTACCAAGTGCTGGGATTACAAGCGTACGCCACCACTGCCCTGCTTTCCTATGGCTTGCTAATAGCTCTGACCCTGGGCAACTTTATTTATTAACATACAAATAACATTTTAATACAAATAAAATATCACCATATTAACCACATCTATTATGAGGAAAATCTGTCTTAGCGAACTGCATCTCCTATCTAGCCTCACCAAGTCTCCATCCCTGTCATTCCTTCTTGTTGGGGAAGTACCCTAGCTTAGGGTGGATGAGATGTCTTGAATCATGGGGGCACAACCACCTGTGGAGCAGATGAAGGGAGATGGCTTTGGTTGGTGAGCCGAGGCATATCTAAATGGATGACACCTGGAGAGAATGGTGTTTCAGCTGGGAAGCAGGGCGTGGGGGGGGGGGGGCGGGTGGGTGCCATAGTAGAAGCATGGACTCTCACTCCAACCTGGATTGAGGAGTTACATTTACAGCTTCCTTAGCCAGCCCAGCCCTGGCCATGCACAGTAACTCTCCTTCTGGGCTTCCAGGTGAGGGAGATGCCATGTCTCTTCTTCTTCTCATTCAAGTGCTGTCCATTGATAACCAATTAACACTTAAAACCTCCTTCACATTTTCCCCCTAACGGCCTACAAGGTCACTTATGCGAATGGAAAAACTTCTTTCTTACTTTTTTTGTTGTTTTTATGATCCTTTGGTTTTTTTCTGAAGTCTCCCCACCCCCAATTCTTTTCTTTCTTCCTTTTTTTTTTTTTTTTTTAATCGCCCTGACAGGCCTTGAACTCACTATCTTCCTGTCTCAGTTCCTGAGTGCTGGTATTACAGATGTGGCACCCACTTGGCCTGTCCTCCAGTACCCACGGTATTTCATGTACCCAGCTCCATGCAAGTCATTCACTAATTTGGTCATTTTCTTAAACTTCTGCATATATGTGTATGTGTACAGCACACATACAAATCACAACATGCATATACATTGCTAACGTGTATATGAGGGTGTGTGCATGCTTATGCACCTGCGTAGAGGTAAAAACCTTTGAGACAGGGTCTCTCGTTGAACTTGGAGCTAGGCTGGTGGCCAGCAAGCCCCAGGAAACCTCCTGCCTTTACCATCCGTGCTGGAGTTACAGATATGCACACACCCATTGTAAGCCCCTTGAGTCAGAGGAGTGGCCAGGCTTCTCCCTGGAGGACCTCTAACTGCCAGGTTCCACCCACAGAATACTCTAACTTCCCTAACTGCTGAAGCCTGGCCCCACCCTATAGAGCAAAAAGCCCAATCTCTGGACATAAAATCCCACCAATCTCCACCCTGGAAAGCTCCACCCTGAAAAGTTCCACCCGTTTCCAAAGAAACTCTATATAGGCCCTGTATTCTGTTTAGTTTGCTGCTGTTTCTCACCCGAGCAGAGGAAGACACCCTCCTGGGTTTTTCCCTCTCAATAAATCTCTCGTGTGAGGTTTGTTGTGAGGTGTGACTTCGTGGTATGCCTTGGCTCTCGGCTACTGGGATCCCTTTTCATCCAAGCTGTAATACTTGGATGAAAACACACTCATGTGATACATGTAATACACTCGTGCCTGCCTCTTCACCTAGCTGCTGGGATCTCAACTCGGGTCTTATTGTTTATTCGGCAAGAGCTCCTACCCACTCAGTCATCTTGCTAGTCTGCCCCACTCACACCCCTTTTATTCAGAGACAGGGTTTTGCCACAGCCCAGGCTGGCCTTGAACTTGTGGTCCTCTTTCTTCGGTCTCCCAAATGCTGAGATTACAGGTCTGCCTGCTTCTGTGCTGTCGGTTGTGGTTTTGATAGTTTTGAATATGTCTTACCATTCCAGTTGTGTGTAGGTTACTTTGGATTTAATAGGAAGTTGACTTTGTTTTAAACACTTTCCTAAGCACATTGTGTAGACTGGTTCATCTAATCTTCATAGCAGCCCTATGGGGCAGACGCCATAATGCATCGTCCCTGTTTGGTGGGGGGAAGAGACTCGTCAACAGACTCTCTTAAGATCTTGTAGGAGATGAGAGAGTTGTAACTTCTCGTCTATAAAATGGGATGGCTAACTGCACCTGCTTCATGAGAGTGCCACAAGGAATATGTGAGTTAATGTGTATAAAGCACACAGAATGGTGCCCCCACACAAGCACTTACTTAAATGACGTTAGTAAATAATGAATGAAAATCTACGTGGTCAAGCTGGACAGAACCAGGTGTGTTGACTCCTGAGAATAAAATCCTGTTTTCCACTTCTCTCCTGCCGACTCTTCTGCTCTTTTCCTTCTGAGGTCTTTGGCAGGGATTCTTACAGATGGGGAGACTGAACTATGGAAGTCATGATCCAGGGCCACAGTTAGTTTCTCTTCTTGAGAATTCCATAGCAACACTTCCTATATTCCGTGGGCTACTCTACTGGCATTAACTGATAGAGTGAACATACTGTCTTAGGCAGGCATAGGGAATGCTCCTTGTCTATTACACTGTCTTAGGCATGGGGAATGCTCCTTGTCTATTACACTGTCTTAGGCAGGCATAGGGAATGCTCCTTGTCTATTACACTGTCTTAGGCATGGGGAATGCTCCTTGTCTATTACACTGTCTTAGGCAGGCATAGGGAATGCTCCTTGTCTATTACACTGTCTTAGGTATGGGGAATGCTCCTTGTCTATTACACTGTCTTAGGTATGGGGAATGCTCCTTGTCTATTACACTGTCTTAGGCATGGGGAATGCTCCTTGTCTATTACACTGTCTTAGGCAGGCATAGGGAATGCTCCTTGTCTATTACACTGTCTTAGGTATGGGGAATGCTCCTTGTCTATTACACTGTCTTAGGTATGGGGAATGCTCCTTGCCTATTACACTGTCTTAGGCATGGGGAATGCTCCTTGTCTATTACACTGTCTTAGGTATGGGGAATGCTCCTTGTCTATTACACTATCTTAGGCATGGGGAATGCTCCTTGTCTATTACATGGAGGAGGATGCACAGGTGCAGAGTGGTCCAACTCTGCTCTATCTGAGCCCTCTAGGGTCTGAGACCAGCCAGTTCTGCCCACAAGGCCAGAGTGGGAACTGGTATGCTACTTTAGAAAACTATTTAAAGAAACCCAGACACTGAACATAAACACATTTTTACTGAGGGGCCTGTACCAACCTTGCCCCACGTGTTTTGCGGTGGTCTATGACTAAACCTTGGGATGGACCCCAGATCTCAGGATGTCTTGGCCTGGCTTCAGTAGGTACATCAAACACGCCTAGTCTGACTTGTTGCTAGGGTGACCAGTTGTCTAATTTGCTTGGGACCAATCGTTTGAAAGTCCTGTACAACAGGAAACACCCTGATCCTGCATTCTGCACAGAGATGCTTTGGTGCTCGGTGCTCAGGACATTTTGCGTTTGTCCATAGATTTCCAGAGAAGTACTTCTTATTATTTCCAAATGGTCCCCATGTTATTTTGACTTTGGAGGCAGCGCTAACACATTTCCAGTCACAGGAGCATAAGGAGCATCATCGTGTGGAATGTTTTCTGTTCTGGTGGGTAGAACCCCAGGGTTTATTCTCTACAGCCATTCCAGAGTTGTGTCACAACTAGTCACATCAGCCTTCTCCTGCCTTCAGTGTGACCCGCAAAGCTCTTACTTCCCCCTTCACACTTTCATTGTCCCCAAGCACGTTTGAAGGTTTACTTTCTGCAGCATCACACAGAATAAGGAGGGATGGGTTTGGCACTGGATGGTGGAGGGGGGACAGGGTGTACAGAGGACAGAGCAAGGACTTCACAGGGAGAGAGATCTGGAGCGAGTCTTGTCTCCGACAGGTCATCTTATGACATTGTGCAAGTTTGTCCGCAAGATGATAGTCCTCTGCACGATCAGCAATGACACTCGTGAAGCAGCTTGCGTGGAGAGGGGTGTGACCAGCATGAAATAACTGATCCGAGAGGCCCAGCTCAAGACTCGGGCACCCCATGACTGTCAAGGGCCTGAGCCCGAGTGGGGTTGGTATGTCCGCCCAGGGAGATGCTGAGGAGGTGCTCCATGTCTAATGAGGCCACATTCCACTCTTCCCATTTTCAGTGTCTCTCCTCTAGACGAGCTTTACTACAGATCTGTGGGATCCTGTGTTCTTCCTGTTTCCTTTTACGAGATGAATTTATTTTGGTGGTTATTTAAATTCAGTCTTCTTCATCTGATGACAGACTTTCTAAAAGCGGGGTCCATGTCTGTCTTGTTCACTCTCGTAGCTTCAGTCACCAAACCGGGGTCTGGTGCAGAGCAGGCATTCACAAATGTCATTGAATGAAATAAACCGATCCGATGACCATTCATAGGTACATGGAGAAGACAGCGAACGCCTGGGCAGTGGTCAGCCACTAGATGGCGCGAATGCCCCATACGCAAACTGTGCAGCAGGCTTCCTCAAACCCGAGGGATGGGTGGCCATGGCTGGGCTCCAAATCTGCTTGGAAGGGATTCTGCTGAGTTCCTAACATCTGTCTTTACTGAGCGCCATACTGGGCCGTTTACAATGCTTACTGTAGCTCTTACAGCCACCACGGGGGAAGTTATCCCACTTTACAAGGGGAAACAGATGTCCAGCAATTTGAAGTAACTTTTCTTAAGATACACAACCTGGGGCAGGAGAGAAGCACTCCGAACCTGAATCTGTCGGCCTCCACATCCGAGTTCTTAACCAGTGTATGTTAGTGCTTCTATTATGGTGGCCTCAAACGCCAATAATGTACTTCCTTCTATTTAAAAAAAAAAAAAAATCCCACCAGGTGGTGGTGACGCACACTTTTAATCCCAGCACTCCGGAGGCAGAGGTAGGCAATTCTCTATGAGTTCAAGGCCAGCCTGGTCTACAATTCCAGGATAGCCAAAGCTACACAGAGAAACCCTGTCTTGGAAAAAAAAAATCCTCACAGGTGATTGTTATTTTCTCACAGACCCAGTGTGAGGTCTCTGCATGGCCATTGGCTTCTAAAGACAATTTATGAAAGAGGGAAATCAAGTCCGAATGGACTCAGCATCTCCTAGGTCAGACCTTTAGGTCTTGAGCTCATGGGTGAGCTAAGCATCCTACTTGGAGAAAATAACCCTCAGCGTATCGACCAATCATGAAGAGCTAGCTTTTGTAACTGGTCTGGCAGAAATGAAGATAATCTAAAAAGATACCGAGTCTCTCAGTTATCTTGTTTCTCAATTTATCAGACTGTTGAGACAACAGATCCCAAGGAAATGGGAATTTCCTCAGGAATCTCAGGGTGGGAGAAGGAAAGGGCACCTACCTTGAAAGAGACACAGTACCGGATGAGACTGGTGATGGATCCATGGTGGGCAGGGCCACAAGCTACTGGGGCTGCTTAAATGTGCACATCCTTGGCCTTCTATTTAAACTTGGGTCTGTCACTTCAGGTCCCCAAAGACTGCCTTGAGGGGCTCGATGGATCTCTCTGTCCCTCTTCCCAATGTGGCCACATTGAAGACTTCTTCTTTTCCTGCGTTCCACTTAGAATTTGGCTATTTTAATTCGCTCATTGAGACCTGACTTGGGGTACAAGGGGTAACCCCAAAATCTGATAACAAGCTCACACACCGGCTTGAGCAAATACAGGTGGCTTTACAACCTGGCCGTATGTGTGCAGGTGAGTCACATCTACACACAACGGCAGCTCAGTGCCACACAGGTAATGTGTGTGTGTGTGTGCGTGTGTGTGCGTGTCACAAGAGCATCTGAAAGACAGAGGTGACTAGAAAACACATCAGAGAGACAGCAAATAAACTGTGTCCTTTTTACTCAAGGTTCAGACCAAAGATCAGAGGCCCTGGCTCTGCCTGGGAGCTTGTAAGCCATATAGAGTGCTATTCCAGACCTCCTGAACAGGAATCTGCATTTTAACAGATCCCCATGTGTTTAAAGACTTCCAAGGACCAAGTGTTTGTATTTCTAAGTCTCCTTAAAATATTTTTAACTTTAAACTCATCTTCCTTTTGGATTTTGTCTTGCTTTTAAAGGAGTTGCACTGTGTACTCCGGGCTCCTGCTGTTCTTCACAAGGAACCCCATAGACACTTCTAATGGCCAAGTTTTCTAAGTTATTAACCAGAAGGAAAGCTCTTGCCCTGAAGTATTTTTGTATGCTTTTATATGAAAAAATTTCAGGAAGGTAGGCCTTGAAAACAATCTAAAGGATTAACTTTTTAATCACTAAAGGGACTTTCCTATGTTTATTTTAATTGCGGTATGCTGTAATTCTTTGGAGATAAACAATTTATATATGTTACATATATCAGGACTCCTCAAGTCACTCCCTAGCTTCTGCACTGTCCTCTTATTTATCATTTGGAATCCATGGAAGTTGAAACATGGAGTCCGTGTTTACTGTGATCGAGAGAGATCTCTTAAGAGACAAGCACTTCCAATGGAGCGGATTGAATGTCTCAGTGAGAAGAGACAAGGCCCTTATGTCTACCTGTGTTTCATTTCTCCTTATCCACTCATGAACATTGTGTGAGCCCGTTTGGACAGGCAGTGTGGTCTAAATTTAAAAAGCGTTAAAGAACTCTAAACAGAGGAACACAGTCCCTTAGCCAACAGGTCCCTGTGCAGTACACTTCTCTGAGACTCAGTTTGCTATGTCTAAATAGGTAGATTTAGATGGTTGCTAAGGTCCCTTCCCTGGTCTAGTATTACACGTGCCTGGTTACCTAGGAGTAGGAGCATGAGTTGTTATTCATTAAACCCAGAATATATATTCCCAAATAGAAGTGGCCCACGCTATCCTCACTCCCAGCTATAAAAATTGAGAATGCTGGTTACCATAGCAACTCACCTTCATGGAGTCATTTAGAAATTTGATTCTGTAAAGTGACAATATTATGTACCAGCACCTGCAAAGTTCCAAAATATTTCCTCTACTTCCCTTCTTGCCCTGGGCGATGGTGCCAAGAATTCTCATAATCTGGAGAAGCAATCAGAGTTCTCGAGCTGCCTTTCGGGCTGCTGGAACAGAAGGTGCTGACGGGGTGGGAGTGAAGGGAGGCCCCATTTTGGTTTACTAATTCTGCAGCCGCCCTTCACAAACTCCCGCAAATATTTTGTGATGTTGCAAGGTGTTACGAGGAGTGAAAAGCAAGCTGTGACTCGGCTGGCATGGAGACTCTGCAAACGCGGAAGGGTGATGTGTTGCAAGGCAGGCTATTCCTTCTGTGAGTCCGCCAAGTAGAAGGCTTCAAGAACCATTTCTGCCAGACACTGCTGTTGTGCACACTGGATTTTTTTTTTTTAAACACAGGACCTATTAAAAATTGTTGGGCTTAGTAGGTCTCATCTTATGGACCCTGGGCCCTTGGGAGCCCTGGAGTTACTGCAAAGAATCTGCAAACCCTCTGTGTGTTCTCTCTGCAGAAGGAATGAAAAATGTGCTCATTTATATGAATAAGCTTTCAAATTTGCATGAGTATTAGTATGTCCAATATGCATAAATTAAAACAAATTCATTTGCAAAGTTACTATGTCTTAGCTGTATTTTTTTTATCAACTGATCATAAAAGCAGGGTCAACATCATTCTTGTCTTAAGGAAAAGAGGTTATTTTGGGTGGAGTTGGCTGCTGAAGTCTTGATTCTGAGGGCAGAGGAAAGGGATACCGACTGTCAGTTACTGGCTTTGTTTTTCATGGCGTAAGTGTAAGAATTTATTTACCATTGTCTTCTAGAACATTAGCACCTCTTAGGAGACCCTTAATTGACCAATTGGGCACTTGCTCTCCATGGGAAATGTTGTATCTGAATATAAGCTGTGAACAATGGATATAATTCTTAGGCCACACATTCTTGTGACAAACATAACTGAGGGACTAGAGGTTAGACAGATACCCGGAGAGGCAGACAGACAGGGAGAAGGGCCATGACTAGGTACTAAAGACTGAGCTTCCAAGAAGGCTGGCTTCTTCCTCATGACTTGAGACAAATCGAGCAGCTTAAAGCAGAGGACCCCTGCTCAACAAGTTCAAGGCCTGATCAGGACATGTCACACAACAGCCATCTTGTCTTTCTTCAAACTGACCAACCCTAATTGGGGGAGGAAGACCCTTCAAAGACTTCAAAAACAAAACAAAACAACAACAAAATCCATCAAGCCCTCAAGGAGAAGTTTGGCATGGGCTTCCTGAGTCCCCCCTTTTCTTTGTGGAGGGTCTTTGTTCTGTATGTGCCCACTGGATATGTGTGTTTTCTTACCCCTAATAAAAACTGATTCTGTCTGTTGCAGCTTGCTTGTTCAATAATTTTCCTGCTGTTACTTACCTGTCACACTTCAGATTTTCCCTGTCTCTTAACTCTTCAACTGGCAGAGAAAATGGACCCAATCAAAACCTCTAGACAGTGTTAACCCCAAAGATGCGAGGAGAAGACCCCCGACCCGAATCACCATGGCCGAATTGATGAAAGCACGCTTTTGTATTTGTGTACATGGGCTGCCTTCCCCTAAGGCAGGGTTCAAGAGTCAGCTTTGGATGTGAGGAAGACAAGGTTTTTATTGCTCAGGGTTAGGGGTTTTCCAAATGGAGGATGTGGTGGGCAAATAGGCGGGGTTACAGGAGCAGAACATAACGAGGTGGTCATAACAGGTGGTTGTATGTGGAGGCCCACAAAGGTTTCCTGGTGAGATCTGAGCTCGCTTTACCCAGCAGGGCTGCACTAGAGGATTGTTTGACCATGTGCATGGTTACCAGGTGATCGGAAGGAGCTAGGAGGAGCTCTTTTGCTCCACCTCTTGGCATTCCTATAAAAAATACTTTAGAAGAGACAGAAGGGGCTGGTAAATAATGACCCAGGCCCTCCAGAGGCTATCCTGTGTTTCTATCTGTTTCTTTCTCCTCTATCCATTCTATCTGAATATTTCTCACTTCTCCCTCCTCAAGAGTATCCCGGGAAAAAGTGAAAGGGGGCCCCCACAGTTATAATAACCTTTTGAAAGAAAGACGTGGTTGCAAGCGGTCATAACAACTTCTAGAAATGAAGGCATGGTTGTCATTTCCTGGAGCAGGCAGTACAGAACCATCTGTAGTTAAGGTTACAGGTGGGGCACAGCCCAGTCCCTGAGAAACAGAGGTTTAATCATAAACAGGAATGAGCCTAGTTTGTCTTTAGTATAAGATGGTTTGCAAGCCTAAGATGGAGGCAGGAATTGCCTCAATGAGCTTGGCATGTGGGCATGTCTGTGGGCATTTTTTTTGGATTAGTGATTGATGTGGGAGGGCCCAGTCTGCTGCAGGTGGTGCCACCTGTGGGCACGTGGGCCTGGGTTTTATAAGACAGCAAGCTGAGGGAGTCATGGGAGCTAGCCAGTAAGCAGTGTTCCTCCATGTTTTCTCTCAGGGATAGACTATAACCTGTAAGTCAGTTTTGGTCAGTGTTAAATCACGGCAACAGAAAAGCGCATTTCTTTCCTGAGGTTCTGCCACGTTCTTGGGGCTCAACTCAGGTCACAAGGGACATGTCCTCCAAGTCCTACAAACACACCTGAGACTGCTCATCTTCCTAAGTGGGCCTGGGTCATAGGGCACACCTCCTTACCACAAACCTGTTTTCCCAGAGAACTTTGCCCGGCTTCTGTGCTCATCTTTTTTTTCAAATATTGTGTCTGTACCATGTTTGTTTTTCCCCATCCCAAGGGAGCTTCTGGAAACAAAAGCCAGGAAGACTTTGTTGTTGTTTCTTGGTGTCTTGCTGGTATGTGTCTGCGCCAGGCTCCGATCACAAGCTAGGCTGCCTGGAGAAGGACAGCCAAGGAAGAACATGGTAAAAGGAACATCTGTCGTGCTGCCGCATACATGTCTTTTTTTTTTTTTTTTTTTTTTTTCGTTTTTCGAGACAGGGTTTCTCTGTGTAGCTTTGCGCCTTTCCTGGGACTCGCTTGGTAGCCCAGGCTGGCCTCGAACTCACAGAGATCCGCCTGGCTCTGCCTCCCGAGTGCTGGGATTAAAGGCGTGCGCCACCACCGCCCGGCCCCCGCATACATGTCTTAACAGAAATTTTCTGGATCTGGCTTGCAAGAGACCAAAGCAGTCTCACATGAAATCAGACACTGAACAAAAAGTGAAATCTGCGGGTATAATAAAAAAATAAGACCCTTCTCCCTCAGCATCAGGCAGCGGGTCTTCAACTTCTTGACATTTTCTAAAAAGGGGAGTGGGCAGCCGGGCGGTGGTGGCGCACGCCTTTAATCCCAGCACTCGGGAGGCAGAGCCAGGTGGATCTCTGCGAGTTCGAGGCCAGCCTGGACTACCAAGTGAGTTCCAGGAAAGGTGCAAAGCTACACAGAGAAACCCTGTCTCGAAAAACAAAAACAAAACAAAACAAACAAACAAAAAAAAGGGGAGTGGGCATTCAGAACTCAGTGCCTGGACTTTGGGACACAACATTAAATACAGTCTCTTCCTCAGGATTGGTGAATGATGGAGGCTGTTGTCTATGGCAGCCCCTCAGCCTAAGTTGTGGCAGGAAATGGGGAAAGAAAGAACAGCTCCTCACTGCCATGGCTTCCCCCTTGGGATGGTCTCTCTATTCAAACGCTCTCTGGAAAGTCCCTAACCCCCAGACTCTTGGAAACCCAGCTCCCTCTTAGTAGTTTCTACCTTTTTTTTTTTTTTTTTAAAGATTTATTTATTATGTATACAGTGTTCTATCTGCATGTATGCAGGCAGGCCAGAAGAGGGCGCCAGATCTCATTACAGATGGTTGTGAGCCACCATGTGGTTGCTGGGAATTGAACTCAGGACCTCTGGAAGAGCAGTCAGTGCTCTTAACCTCTGAGCCATCTCTCCAGCCCCGTAGTTTCTACCTTAATCAGAACTGAAAATAATTTAATAAATTAATAGTTATATATAACTAAATTAATAGCTTAACGAGTTATTGTTAATTTATTAGAAACATCATTAAAAACCACCAAATTCCTGTTGTGAGCTATGAAGTGAGAACAGACAGTCCTGTCTTCATTTTGGTGACTTTATCTTTTGAACAAAAAATATATCATATTTGGATGTATGAGTCTTATAGTTTAGTTGGGGGATGGAAGAGCTCATGTAAATTCAAGTGGAGTGACCTCAATATTATGATGGGGAAGTGCAGACTGTAGGGCACAGAGCAACAGGATACCTAGCAAGGGCTTTGGGTGACAGAAAAGGCTTTCTGGGTAGGCTTAGAAAGACCAAGGCCCTGGGTGCAGGTCAGGCTCTGATGGGCCAGCTGTAGGTAGACTGCCTGGTAAGGAGGGAACAGAGAGCAGCTGGCCTGGCTCTGACTCAGCCCCAAGTTTCTAGGAGCAGTGATGGCTATGTTTTAAAGTTGGTGGTCATGAACACACGTTTTCTCCCACTCAAAAGCGTGAGTGAGCTGCTGTATGCCTAGGCAAGAAGATTCCACTCCCCTGTTCATCCACATGTGCTGAGGGAATCAAGAGCCTATGGAGGGTCCTTCCAAAGGCAAAAGCCACGGGTTCTCTTCTCCTTTGCCCCTTGGAGAGAAGGGAGCAATGTCTTACAGGGTCCATGTTCCAGGCAAAGGAGTCTGTAAGCATGTGTGAGGTGTTAGATGCGGGATCAGACCTTTTGTGAGCAATGCATTTTTATGATTAAACCTTTGGGTAAAGCTTATTTGTTCCAACTTTAGCTGAGTGTGTTCATCTGAGTGTGGGGTAAACGCCTTAAAACACAGGTTGGTTGTAAATAACCCACAGAGAAACTGAGTTAGAATTCATTTTATAAAATAAGGACTGCCGGAGTTATAGGAGGCTTTCCGGCCCACCGAATCATGAGAAAGAATTATCTTTCTGCAGCTGTGAAAAAGGAAAACTAACATCCTGTCTGGGGAACCCCAACTACATTACCCAAAGGCCAATTTCATGTCATGGAAGTGAATCAGAGGGCTGAATTTGGAGAAAGTCCATAAATTCTAGATCACACAGGAAATGATTCCACACTATTATTGAGTGAATATAGTAAGAAATTATGATCCTTGAGTAAACAACCAGAAAAGTCTGAGTGCATTTGTCTAAGCTGCAAACGGTCATGTGGATCAAATTACTAATAGTTTAGTTCATGAATGTACAATAATATGTGCTTCAACTCATGCCAGTTGATAATCTTCAGAGATGTCTGAGTGACTTCTGGTCCCAACATTAATCCATAAGGTCATTAGGGAATTAAAAAACAATATGACTAGTCTGGGAAAATGTTGAATCACTGTCGGGCAGCCATTAACCTTTCATATCAGCTCAGTTTCCCAAATATACGGATCATTTCTAATGAGGACAGGAGTCAGGGCAGCCAACTTATTTTAAGGACCAAGTAGCAAATATTTTAGGCATTGCAATTCTGTCCTCTTACAAGCAAGCAGCCAGTGACTGTCCTAATGGCCATATCCACGCTAGTGAATGTCTGTGACTATGCTCCAGTACAACTTTATCTGTCAAAATAGTTAACTTGCCCCTGGGCTATAATTTCATGCCTAGCCCTGAATGACTGTATCAATGCAGGAAGATTTGACATTCTTGGAGAAAAATTAGCTCTTTGGAGGTCCACAGCAGACTTCTCTGACACTGTAGTTTGAGGGCATCTTTGACACTGGCCAATAGATGGTGTCCTTTAATATTTATAAATACTGCATGAAGAAGCCTGGGTGAGGGCTACCTGCTTTTGTCAGAGGCCAGACGCCTCATCCCAAAGCAGGCTTGGGGCTGGATCATGGAGAACTTCTAACTCGAGGTGTAAAACACTTAGAGGAAAGGAATAATTACACTAAGCATATTCTCTTACACACAGCACCTTCTCTTTATACAGATTCTCTTTACAGAGTCAACTTCAACCAGGTTAATCTCTTCTATCCCCACTAACATCTCTCTCCTCATTCCCTGCCGTAGGCCTTAGTTTTTGTCTCCACCGTTTCTCCCTTTGGAGGACTGATGTTTTGGGTCAAAATCTAATTATTAGGTTGGTTGGTTACCTAACATTTGTGAGGGCAATCTCCAGTACTACAAACTAGATAGATAGCTAGATAGCTAGATAGCAAGGCAGAAAGACAGACAGACATGAGTGTATAATGTCTGGTGAACATTAGGAAGATGATAAAACTATAAAAATATATGAAACTAAAATTTCTGGGGAAAGTTAACAAAACATATCTAATTTTGATCCTCAACTTTCCCCTCTGAAACTACTAATATTTTGAGGGAGAATGGCATGAACCTCAAACATAGTGAAAGAAGGTAT